GCCGCAGTGGCAGTGGTCGTGGCGCGGCCCGCCGTTGCCCGAGGCCCAGACGAACACGGAGCCCAGGCCACCCCGGCCCTGGTGGGAGGGGGGCGGGTGGGGGGGTCACTCCCTCCACGGAGCTGCCCCCCACCCCTTGCTGCAACGGGGTCCTCCCAGAGGCAGCCTTCCCCTCGGGCTCCTGCAGCCCCAGCCCAGAGGCCATGCTTTCGTTCGCTATCCCCTTATAGAAGGCTTCCATGGCTAGCACCCCTGGCCCGTCCACGGTCTTGCCATCGTCCTCCGGGCCCCAGCTGGCACTGTAGATGTGGATGTGCTGGGGCCGCAGGCTCAGGGACTGGGCCTCCACAATGTCCGTGATGGGGCCGTCCAGCATCCTCACGCCTGGAAGGACACAGAGCAAGGACACCGGGCTCGTCGGTGCCGCCCCGCTGCGGGTTCACAACAAAAGCTTGCACTCCCCCATGAGAATTTGGGGCAGGAGCCCTGAAAACAGCCCCATCACAGTAGCTTTCTTGTGGCAGAGCCTCCCAGAAGTGCCTCCTCGCTGCTAGCAGATGGCAAGCCCCCGTGCTAATCTCCCAGGAGCTAAACCAGGCAGGTCACTGCCTCCTAACCTTGTTTGCCCTTAAGAAGCACGGAGCCATACGGCCGCGAGGGCCCTCAGCCTGCAAGGATGGCACCGGCAGCGTGGCTCCGGGCCCCGAAAGGGATGCCGCTGCTCCAAGCATGCAGCAGCCGGGCACCAGTGCCCTCTCGCGGCCTCAGCCTCATCCACAGGCAGTCGCTCAAGCACGGCCAGGATGCAGGGATGCTGCATTTGCTGGGTGGGAACAGGCTTCCCATGGAGTCAAGAACCTGCAGCTCCTCCCCTCGGCACCCGGCAGGGAGATGCAAAGGCCCCGAAGCCCGAGCATCGCTCCGGGGGCGCAGGCTGCTCACCTCCGATCCGCGCGTTGTACGCGACGCCTGCGCCGCAGATTCGGTTGTTGGCCACGGCCGCCACCTCTCCCGCGCAGCGCGTCCCGTGCCTGTCAGGGAGAGCCGGGAGACTGCCACAAGCGCTCGGGATCCCCTCGGTGCTGCCTCTCGCTCCAGCACAACTCAAGGAGGCAACATCTGTTCTCTCGTCATCTCGGGGTTGCTGCTTCTGGGCCACTCGTCCTCGTGTCAGCTT